TTAGCTAACCAGCTAAGTTTTTGGTAATTGCCAGGTGCTAAAATGGAAGATAAAACTTTATTTCACTGATACGTGAAATTGCTTCTCCTTACATTGTTTAATCAGTTTCTTCACATGCTCACAGGCAGCATCTCAATTCAGACCAACTTCAAAGATGTCATGTTTTACTGCTGTGTTTTGAATTAATGTAGTTGGAGCAAATCAGACATACTAGAACTGAAAGTGAAAACTAACCTCCTGTTTTAAATGTATCATCCGTACTTTATATAAAAGCCTCTACCAACCTAATACTACTCCAGTTTGTCCAGCCTAACTGCTATGCTGTTGTCACACTTGTCACAGTGAGGTCTGATTGCTTTGTTTCTCAGATCGTTTTCAAATACCAAAAAGATTATGAATTTCTCTGTCTTCACATACCCCAGTTACAAAGTAATCAGAAAAATTTTGCTTAAGGAAACAAGATATAATAATTAGGGGGGAAAAAGGTACATAAGTTAAAATCTAACTTTTTTCATATGGGTTCATTAGTGTTGTTCTCAAAAATGTGATTATAGAGATTTTATGTAAAGAAATGGAAATTTCTTTACAAGTGAATGGAAATTATTCAGTCTTTTCTACCTATTTCAATTCGGCTAATTTTCATGAGTAAGGGTTAGACTAAAAAGAACAACAGATACCAAGTAACATGTCCTCCATAACCGCAAGGTTAAGCAGGCTGAATACATAGCTACACAAGCTCACTCTGCCAGCCAGAGACCAACAAAGGTCTTCACCACTTTCTCTTGGATGAGTCCTAACATGACATCTATGAGCAAGGATAATATAATTAGGATGGCCTTCTCTTCTTCTTGAGCCCCATCAGCCATACAAAAGTCAGCTAGTTTAGCAGTAGTACAGAGGGGCCACTATTAAGCTACCTGGCCCCCAAGTTTGTTTCACTGCAAGACTCTATCTTAGTAAGACTCCAGACTTGAGCCTGGTGCCCACATCTCTTTAGCTTATGCTAATTTGTGCAAGCACATTTAGTTCTGATGATTGAAAAGCTGTTTCTGTGTTACGATGTACTGCTTGGTGAATAGAACTAGTAAGTTTAGAAGGATGTTTTGAATGCAATTAAATGAAGGTTTATGTTATGCTTTCTCTGCATTCATGATGGCATGCTAATGAAGATGGCTAAAAGCTTGAGAGGTCACAGTGATTTGGTGGAGGCGGGGTGCAACACATAGGATTCTTGTGGTCCCTGCCCAAAATCCAGTTTTTCTCTACATATAAATACATAGTATCATGCAATAAGTTGGAGCTCTTCTACAGCCTCTTGGAACATAGCAGTTCTGGACAATGCTTTATGAGGTTGTAGCCTGTAGATGGCTATTGGGCTCTGCACTGCCTCCCTCTCCCCACTGGTGTACCAAAAGAGACAAACTGGTTTCCAGCGATTCCAGAGAATTTCCAAACCTTCTTACTGACCCAGTGCTGAAAACCTGCTTAGAGGAAGGAGAACTTTGTCATGTAAATGGTTTATCTGATTTTCTGAAAGTCCTTTGTGTTTAGGAATTTTCTCAGGAGTGGAGAGGATTTTTAAAACTGGTGTGCCAGTGAAATTTTTCTATCAATGAAATCAATATAACTTGGCATAAACAGGGTGCTGCATCTGTGCATCACAACACAGCTTCTGAGGTCCACAGGAACCTCAGTGGAAAAGAATTCAGACTTGACATCTACCCACCGACACTAAATATAACCTTCTGGTAAACATGAAAACTTCAAGGGCTTTGTGGCTGATGATCACGTTGAACTCCAGGACATCCAGTGAGAGAGTAGGGTGGAAAACATAAACATAGGAAGAAATGTAGGGGGAGGGAAGGGTTTGAAAGCTGGTGGAGAGAACGGCAAAGATTTTGGTGACTAATGTTTTCTGCCTGGTTCAAGTGTTCGTCGATTTAATAAAGATAAAGCATTCACAAGGCTGAGATAGCTTAACTGCTAGTGTACCAAACACAAGAAACTATGGATTGCTCTAGCACATTTTTTCTAACAGAGAACTTCATACTAAAACACTGCACTCAGAACACGGGCCTAAGGACAAAAGGCAGATGTTGCTTGCTTGGCTGTTCCATTTGTTTCTTCTGCTTTAAATAGGATAATTAGCATCCTCTGCACTATGGTTTTTGCTTTGGACATTTGAGCACTGAAATCTGGATTATAACTATCAGAAGGATTTCACACAGGGCACCAAACAGCTGGAAAATAGTACCAGCTTTCAGTCCCTACCAATGTGGGCTGGATTTGACCTGCAAGTACTTGGAAGGCTCTATATCTCTTTGCCACACCATAAGCTCAACAATCTAATCTATCCTTCCTCCAAGCATGGAGAGCAAAGCCTTTAGTTTCTGAGCACAGTAGCAGACAAGGACAAGCAAGTTTCTAAAGCAGGTCATAAACTGCACTATTCAAATATCTCTAGCACTATCATCGCTATCTTCTAGCCTGCAGTATTATTCTCAGCCTTCAGTTCTCCCCTAAATACCAGCTCGTCTAGTCATACAGCACATGGAAGAAATTCCACTCCATAGCAGAAGGTTTTGGTTGTTTCTTAGTAAACAGGTTGGGGAGTTATAGGGGTAGCTGTTTAAAGCACCTTGCATGTGTAGTTGGAGTACTTTCACCACTGCTTGGTGTGGTGGATAGCCATCACCCTATCCATTTGACAGATGGGCTGACTGAAGTGTATGTGTTACTTAACTAGTTCAGGACCACTGGAAAGCAGAGGAGACCCAAACCCCTTGTTCTAAAACAGTAAAACCCATTATGAGTTTTGTAAAAACAAACATTCGCCCATTTGCCAATCCTCGAAGTCATTGCCTGTTCTGTTAGCTTAACTCCTAGTGCCATATAAACTTTTTTCAAGCCTGTCACAATTTCTTTTAAAGAAAGAAAAAAATTCAAACACCTTAGAAAACATTCTGCAAGAGGAGTAAGAGGTATTTAAGCCTGTTTAAAACTCAGTCTAGAGTCAGACCTGGTGCCAGTGAGGAGGGAAACTTGGCAGCTTTGTTTAAAGCTTCCCACACAGACACTGGAGACAAGAAAACAAAGAAGCTGTAGTCCCCGAGGGTCCTGCCACTCCCAGGGCAAAATCAGTCCCTTCCCTGCTTTTCCTCTAGCTCTCACAGACACGCAAACACTCTTCTCTCACTGCCATTAGCTACAGCACTAACCAATTAAGCCCTACAGACCTGGAAAAAATACAGGAAATGAAGAGTTAAAAAAGAAAAGGGAAAAGAAAAAAACCCGGAGAACTTGGAGGCAAGCCAGCGTCCCCGAATGACTCGGCTCAGCCGGCAGCCCGAAGCGACACTCCCCAACGGCTCTGCCCTCCCTCTCCTCTCCCGCAGGGTGGGCACGGCCCAGCCCTGCCCTCTTTATCAGGGACAGGAGTTCCTCTTCTTGGCCTCTAGTTGGTTTGGCAGCCCAGAAACATTGCTAAATTTATCTTTCACTTTTAGGACAACGGCAAATACCAGAAATAAAAAAGCAAAAGAACTGAAAATTAATTGAGACTATTCCCTGCAAACCAAGCGGAAGCACCTTTTCTGCATAACTCCCAAGGAGGCAAAAAGCAGTTACACAGTGCAAAGCAGGGCAAGCTGCCTGGGGTGCCAGGAACACACTGTTCCTTTGGCTGTGCAGCACAGGGAATTGTCCATCTGTATGCTGAAACTTGATGGGGCTTTCTGCTCTCCCATGGAAAGCAAAACATACCCTCAATTTAGAAGGGCTCTTGCTTTATCTCAGGAAGGCAGCAGGAAAAGCTGAAGGCATGCTTAAGAGGTATGGCCAGTGTGGGTGAGGCTGCCACCTCTGAGCTAAAACTTTGAGAGTCATTAAGTCATGTTTAGTTCTGAGGATCTTTTTTCTTAATGCTCTTTATAAATGAACTGACCATAGACCTTAGTAAACTAATTTGTTGTCTGAAATTACTCAGTGGAACAGCTTGCACAAGCCTCCTCTAGTCGGTGTGGTGCCTCGCCATATGCACTATGATCAGTGCCTTCAGCAGAGATCAGTCTCCTCAATTTTTGGTGCTCCCTGTCTGACTGGAAGCCTCCTGTTCCCCAGCACTAGGCAGAGAGGCATGAGGTCTGGCAAGTCATGGGGCCAGTTTCAAGATGGCCCTCCTAATACTTCCAGTGTATAATTTTCACAGTGCTTGCAAGCCTTCCACTTTTTCTACGTGTGTGTCTCATAAATTACAATAGCAACAAAAATGTGGTCAGATAAGTCTTCACCAAGAAGTAAACACTGAATACCAATCAGAACAAGTTAGTGGTGTTTGCATTCAAATGTTGTTTTTTGTTTTGGAATCGGTTTCACCCAGCTGCCAAAAGCTTTTTTGAGACTGCCCATGTCCCCCTCTCTCTACACTTAGATAAATGTCTCCTTGTGACTCATGTTCAGACTCTCATCTGCCTTCCTGCCTACTCTAGCCTTCACACAAGCATCTGCTAAAGAAAGAAACAGACACACAGTCATTCAGGTGCCTCTAGAACATTTAATTTTAAAATATCAAAAGTACTGATGCTTGCATGGGAAGCGATAAGCTGGTATAAATGTAGTGACAGCAGCATGGGGTAGGAAAAAGTAGATGGGGGAGGGTAAGAAGCATTGGAAAGGGAAGTAGAAGATGCACTGAACAAGAAGACTAGCAGCTAGAAATTACAGCTTGGTACAATCCACACAGATGACCCACAAGCCATTCCCTGTGAAATTAAGTAATACAAAAGGGCAACATTAGCTTTGAATCTATGCCCAGTAAGGGTTTATTCCCGGGGGTGGGTGGGGGGGAGGGGTGGTGTTGTTGTTTGGTTTTCCCGAGCTTGAGTTCTGAGAGATAAAACCATAATGGTGGCCAAATACAAGTTTGTTTGGGTTTGGGTTTTCAACATTCATTTTAATTACCAAGCTGTAACAAATAAATCTCTGGCTGGATTATAACTAACCTGTGTGGGTCCTTAGATGAGCTTTAAGATGGGAAGATTTGCCATAAATTTTTTCACACCCCACATAGTGGCATTTGTGCTTTTTCTGGGGTGATCCAGGGTCAGTCCAGCTTCTCGTGCGTTTGTTCTTTTGTCTGGGGCTTGGCTCAGTTACTGCAGCCAGGCTAGTAGGTGTGGCTGCTCTTCCTCCTCCATGCTTACCAGCCGAAGACACACTTTCTTCCCCAAACTCCTTAGGAGCAATAGAAATGTGTAATTGTTCTGTGATATCAAAGGTCTCTGTTTTTTCCATCCTTAGAGCAGGTGAGTTTGGGACATGTTGGTTCAGATCTGCTAAAATGCTAGCTACAACAAGTAATGATGATCCATTGTCTTTCCCGGTTTCTCTGACTTCCCGCTTATCTTCCCCATTTGATGAAGAAGGTATTGCCGCACCAGGTTGGGGATCAGGCTCCCCTTTGGGACTATGGATAATAGCACGACTGGACATAGAAACAAGGCACTCTGCTGCAAAATGATCCACACATGCTGCTGTTGCCATTTTTCATAAGTTTAAAAAGAAATCCAAACAGAAGAGGGGAAAAAAAAAAACCACCACCACAACACTGCTCTTTCCCTTTTTAAAAAGATTATGCAAGCAGACTTTTCCCTCTCAATTCTTAGAATCTCTTTGTAGAAGTAAAGGCTGATTTTGCAGCCATCAAAACCACACTTTGTTCATGACGATCACACCCAGCTTGTCCCCAAATCAAAAAAGCGTTGGAAGTCCAATGCAAGAGAAAAAGAAGAGCAGCTAGATCCTGGCACTGGCAGCTTGTTGCTTGGAGTATGAATTAATGCTGTTTTTTCGAGAACGCAATAAAATAAAGATGCGGTTTCCCCTGCCCTTCCATTGCGTTGTGACAGTAGAATAAGCTTTCCCCGTTATCGCTCCTCGGAGTCGCCCGGACCCCTGCGGGGGAGTGGCCTGGGAAAACATCTGGGCCTGACGTCACCGCGAAGCCACATCCTGCGCCGATGAGGTTGGCGGCGCGCGAGCAGGGCTGTGCCCGCCAGCGCGGCCTGCGCGCGGGGCAGCAGTCCGCAAATGAAAGGAAGCGGCCGATTGGCTGGCGGGGGGCGGGGGGGGGGGGGGGGTGCCCAACGCCCGCCGCGGGAGCGTGTGGCACCCTCCGCCCCCGCCGTGTCCAGAGCCGCAGAGCGGCGGGCGCGGACCCCTCCGCTGGGGGGAAAGGAGACGCAACCTCCCCCGGCAGCGGTCTCGGCGGCCGTGGGACCATTAATCGCCCAGCCCTTCTCACAGGCCGTCCCCTCTGACAGATGTTGACCATTCGCGGCGTGCCGTATTAGAGGTTGTACTGCTAGGGACAAGTTAAGAGGCACTGAACTGTGAAAAGGAAGATATTAAATAAACGTTGTAAAGTTGGAACAGATACAAGTGACAGGAAAGAGTGAGGCTACACCGTTTGGTCTACAGCTATACAGATGGAGTTCATGTGTGGATTTTAATTGGTTGTGACAGGTTTCACTAACTGCCAGGGAATACACTTGAAATCACCTTCCTTTCTGTCAAAACTCACCTCACTATAGCACTCTGCTGCCTCTCAATTATTAAAAAGTACAAATGAAAATAACTTGCTTTTCATTATTATTCTCAGCTTGCAAAAGATACAGCTCATCCAGTTTTACAGAGATTAATGCCTGAATGAACAGAAGAGTTGCGTGTATGACTAACTTGCCAAGCAAAAGTAAAGAAATGCATCTGAAAGCAGTTAGTCTGTGGTGCTTCTTACCTTCTGTTGGAACATGTTTCTCCAGACTAATTCCTGTGAAATTCCTGTCTTAGGTACAGATGGACCTTTTCTCTGAGACAGAGATGGTCAGAAAGCAGGAGGGCTTCTTTGGAAGCCTTTCTTTCTGGATGGAAAGTTTTGGAGTTTGAGGGGGTGTCAGAGGAAGTGAACATCTGTTGCAGAAACTCAAATACTTTTGGTGTTAGGTTGAGTAAAAGGTTGGTTTCATACACATAAAAATGCCTTACTCAGGAGCAACCTCTGCTTATGCTACCGCTGCACTTTGTGAAAAAACGTGCTTTAGCTTCTCACACAACAGTTCCCCTCTGGGTCAGGCTCGTTGGTAACCTGTGTCTACCACAGTGCTCCATCTCTGCTCTCTTAATAGTGCAGCCTGTAGTGCTATGTGGGACTTGAGTCACTGCAGCAAAGGGAGGAATAAGGCATAGGACCAGTGTGGGAGGATGCGGTTTAATGCTGAATCAAACCATATAATTTTGATGCAGGCATATCATACCATTTGTTCTGCTGAGCATATCTATCTATGAGAAATCTTTAGTATTTCCAAATAAAAAGGTTGAGTTTGGGACTTACCTCTTTGTTCGTATGTGAAAAAGGAATTCTGGGGAAAACATTTTTATAAGAAATTTTAGTTGAGTTCAAGCTCAACCTCTTCCTCGAGGGAAGAGGATTGCTTAAATAGACCTACCTGGCAGTTCTTTAGAATTAGTAGTAGATTCAGAGCAGAAACCCAGCAGCTCCCCCAGTTTGAGGAGAAACATAGGCCATTTTCAGGGGAGTGAGGAAAGGCAGAGTTTAGGCACAAGTTCTCAGTTCTTACCCCAACGTCAGTAAATGGACAGGAAAAGGGAGACCTGGACTATCCTAGCTGCCAACCATCAGCAGCCTTTGCCCCAGCACTGACAGGGGGGGTTCCAGAGGCACCCTGCTATCTCTGTCCCCCCCCCCCCCCCCCCCCGCCCCCTTCACCACCCGTGGCCCCCCCCCCGCCCCCCCTC